GTCCCAGCTCCCACGCGCTGGTTTGGGATCTGCCTGGGAACGGACCTCTCCCCCCTCCCAGCTGGGTCTTCAAGGCCAGGGATCTGGGGCTGATCCCGGCTTAATTTGAGGCTGGAATAAAAGCGGAAAACATGTGGGAAAGGGAAAAGTCAGGACGTTTCATTTTGGCTTGTCCTAAAAGAAAACGTTTTGATTTTTCATCTCCAAATGACATTTTCACGGAGAGCTGAAAGAGCAAAAACGATTCTTTCATGACCTTTTCCTCTGCAGTTTTTAATTGTTTTAATTTTTTTAGGGCAGGGGGGGAACCCTACGGCAAATGAGCTCCAAAAATGTCAGCCCCTGCAGGGCAGACAGCTCTGCCACGGGGCCGGTGAGACGAAGATGCTTCTGCCGCCGGATGGAGCACAGGTTTGCTCTGGGAAGAGCTGTGCTTGCACCCAGAGACAGCTTAAAGGGAATTTATATCCCTTAAAAGTCGACAAGGGACAACTCTTCTGCTTCCCGCGGCTGCACGGCCGAGGACCGTCCCCTGCACGGCGCGTTCGTACTTACGCTCGACGCGCGCTGCGAAGCGGAGGTTTGCTGACATCTACAGGGCGTTTCACGGAGACGAGAGGCCCTGGCTCCACGGGGGACAGCTGCCCACGCTCCCCGAACTCCCTTCCCGAGGCAGACGCGCACGTCGAGGCACGTGACAGCCCAGGTCGTTAATAACGAACCACAACTACACCCGCGTGCTGGAGCGATGACTGAACGCTCACCCCGACCGTCGGCAGCTCTGCTTTGGCGATGGAGAAGCCATCGCTGAAGAAGCCATCGCTGCCACGAGTCGGGGGGTCCTTTGCATTTTGAAGCATCACCACGTGCTCCGCCCGGTGCCAAGGATGTCCCCGCACAGCAGATTCGGACCCATTTTCCAGGATGGACCCGCAGGGCAGCGTTACCTGATGGTCAAGAGCGCCCATCTGCCCCTGCGGCACGGGGTGCCCGGGTGGCACCTTCACACGGGTGACAGATACTCATTTTCTTGCCCAGAAACAGTCTGACCCAGGACAACAAGAGCGAGGGGCACTAGGCTGCCTCCTTCCCAGGAAAGAATAGGGCAAAACAATAAAAATAGCCCAAAAATGACCGCTGGGAAGCTGGCTGGGCTTTCGTCCCAGGTGCTTTTCCACCAGAGAGCCCGGAGGTGGTCCACAACCACGCACCAGCGTTGGGAGCCCAGTGCTGGATACTCGCTGGCCCGCATGGGCACGGGTCTCCCCTCGCTCCACGGGATGTCCGTCTCCTTGTTGGCCCCACGTACCTGGGAAAGGGCCCCTGCAAGGAGCGAGACGCACCAGCCCGAGGGGAGGACGGAGCAGGGATGGCTACAAACAGCAGGAACGGGCAAGCCAAGGGAGAGGGGAGGCAGCTGGGGATGGAGCCCTTTGTGCATGGAGGCTGGAGGAAGGAGAGGGCGTTTCACCGGATCTTTGCTCCTAGCCCATCATCT